AATGTATAAACAGTCTATTGGTCACCTGTCACCTATCTTTTTAGTTGACCTTCATCTGCATCCAGCAATGTCTCCATTTGTTTTGTCTTTTTACCACATGGAGGTAGTGCTGTTGTTTTTCCAATGACTATGCTTAGCTTTTTGCAAACTCAAATGAACTGTACTGCTGTGTAATATCTATCTAGTTTCATCTTTCTCCTCTGTTTTGCAGTAAAATCCAGAACAGCCCAACAAGCCAAAATGAAATGGGTAGTGAACATCATCTTTTATATACTGCAAGTAAGTCAAAATGGATGCAACAAGCTGGAACTAAACAGCTGTGTAGCATAGAGAAGTACAGATACTCCTGATAGCACAACCCTCTCTATCACTAACATGTCATACTCAACTGTGATGCTAGGCTGCGCTGATGATCTCACTGATATGGAAGTACTACGCCGATCCCGTGACGGTGGTCCCCAATCGATGGATTGCACCAGTGGAGCGTCTTGTAGCCTTTCCAACAGGAGTGGCAGGTAATCAACGTGCAAAACGATAAACTTTATTTGATAGACTACGATTAGATTCAAATGATCGATATACTTTCAAAAATATATTAATGTAGTAACATTAACTAAACTTACCTGAGACTCACCCAATGTTTTGCTCTTTTTCTTTCCATTCAGGTGGAGTAGGAATCACATCCTGGTTGGTGGTTTGCAATAAAGTAGTTTCTCTTGGTCTGTTGGCTGTGAGCTGAAGACTGACTGACCACACAGTGACATTTATTTATTTTTGTCCTGTGTAGGAAATACAATGGTTTGTGAGATTGTATTTTTTTTTTATTATTATTGAATTGCGCATTTGTGTCATTTTGCAGTTTAATAATTTATTGGTGGTGAATTAAATTATTATTATTTAATCCTGGCTTGTGTTAAGTAAGACATAACAATAAAAACGCTGGTTATTGTTACTTTGTAAATGTCTCTTATCGATGCATTCTAATTTTTATTATAATTAATTTAATTGTCATTTAATTTAATAATCTGAATTTTTGTATTTCTAAACACTGACTTACCTTCAAATTGGAGCAGAATGTTGATTCAGTTGTGACCCATGTGTACTATACTTCCACATCATGAATTTTAAGCATTTCCCCTAATACCAGTATTTTCACCTGGAGGTCCATGTGGGCTGGTCTGCCTCTGAAAATGTCGGTCACTGTTACCTTCCTGGCTGCATTCAGCTTGACTCTGTCTCTCACACTCCCCCTGGTGGTCACCCACATTCTCCCTGGTTTTCTGGTGCGCATACCGGAGGCTGTAGTCACTGAAAACGTGTTCACAAATAAAATAAAACAACATGTAATTTGTACTGTACCAACATTAAAGTGTCAACAATGATATGATACTCAACGGACGCTAACGGCAACTGAGACAATGGCGAGGCGTTGACGTTTATCCAGACGAAGAGCTAACTAGGCTAAAGTGAAACACACCTGCTGTGTTGTTTAAGAACGGCCTCAAAAAATAAATTGAACCAAATTAGGCCCAAACAGTAGTTGGCAGAAAAGTGTTGTGACTGTCTTAAATAACGTGTAGTGTTTAGTTCTTACTTTAACTCGGTTTGAATTGAGAGCATCAAGTAGCTAAAAAACAAACAAAACTAAACTCCGTACCTGGTGAAGTTACACGAGTTCGCCGCTGAGCCACTTCCTTTGTTTTTATGTTTCAAAATAAAAGACCCCAATAAGTTAAACAGTCAAGTCACACAAGATTTCATGTTCGCTTCCGTCTGAACGTGGACAACAAATGACATTACTATGAATTAATGACCATTGGGGGGCAAATTACAGGGGGGGGGATTACAGGTGGGGGGCAGGTTGTTTTACAATAACTGAAGACTTTTTCCTCATATTTTTGATTACAGTTTCAATAATAATGGACTCATGAAGATTCCACCATCGTGTCATGTTTGAACCATTTCTCAAAATGTGTAAAATAGTTCTAACTGAACCTGGTGCCTGCGCTGGGAGACCAAAGACCTAAGAGCTCAAAGTGCTGGTCAGGACTATTTCTGTCCATATATGAACTCAGCAGGAGGCGAGAGTCCAACTTCACTGTCCCCCAGCAGAGACAGGCAGCTGAGGCCGCCAATCAGTCTGTGTGCTGCTGCGCCCCTAGAGGACATTCCACCAATCAGACCTGCACTGAGGGGAGCCCGGGGACAAAAATAACCGGACAGCGGTGAGTGTGTGTGTGTTTGTGTGTGCGTGCGTGCGTGCGTGCGCGCGATCTCACGGCTATGTCCAGGGTGCGCTCTAATAATAGAGGTGGCCGCCTGCTCCTTTAAGAGCCTGACTTGTTGCTCACTCTTCACCGTATTCTTTATTATATTCATAATAAAAACTATGGTGATCAAGGTATTTCTGGCGTCTTCGTCGGGATCCACTGCGGTAAGAACCGAGCCCGTGACTCGGATTCACTTTAGTTTTTTTTACTCTCTTTGCCTTGAAGCGATCGTCACTTTCTGCTCTCACGCTGACACCGGGGAGACAAACCAACAGATTCATTAACATCACGAGACTGATTTTGTTTTCTGATAGTAACAGTTCAATACTTGGTCCATATTCACATCATGTGCTCGAGGGTTTTACTACTTTCCTCCTGATCGAGGTCGAGCTCATTCACATGCAGAACTTTCTCCAACAGGGGACACACGGGGTGGGGGGGACACCCACACTGGCATTGTTTTGTCCCCGACCACAGTTCAGGAGGATTTGTCCTGTAAACAGACATGTTCTGCTGCAGTATTTGTGATCGGTTTAACTTTAAAACCACCTCAGGCAGCGTGGGTCCTCTTCCTCCAGGACAGCTCTACTTTTGGCTGAGCTAAATAAGCAGCACGAAGTGGCCCAGGCAGGGGGTGTCATGGTGACCCCCACCAGGACAGGACTGTTGTCTCACTGAAGAAAGAAAGAAAGAAAAAGTCTCTGTTTGTTCTGGGTTTGGAGCTGAGTCTCCGTGAGAAAATAAATTCCTCTGGGCTACAGGAAATGAACCACAGAGGAAGGGATTGGACTTTTCTACCAGACAAATACCATGTTGTGGTTGTAAAGACAATTTAAATATAAGATTGTTTAAATATTCTTAAAACCCCTGTTATTTATTAACTTTTTGACTTCTAATAGTTTTACTCATGGTTTTAGACAGTCAGAAGTCGATCTTTTGTAATTTTATGGCTCAGTTTGTTACTTCTGTAATGTCCAAATATTTTTTCTTTTTCCTCCTCAATAATAATGTGTTCATATACCTTAGGCTCCGTAAACCAACTCAGAAATGTGTAAATCCCCTGATGTAATTCCTAACTGAATATTAGAGCGACCGTTTGGACTGTCAGTAAAACAAAGACAGACAATAGTCCAAAGTACGGACCAAACAAACCCTGAGGGACAAACAGAGACGTGATCAGCAGTTTAGGGTCGTCTCCAACGTCTCCTCATATTCCTAGTCATTTTAAACAAACTCAGTGTGTATTATCATTATCATTATTATTATCATTATTATGATTATTATTATCATTTCCAGATCAAGAAGAAGCAGCAGGACGTGGTTGGGTTCCTGGAGGCTCTGAAGGTGGACTACACTCAGCTGGACATCGCCTGTAATGAGGACAACCGCATGTGGATGAGGCAGAATGTTCCAGAAGAAAAGAAGCCGGCCAATGGAATTCCTCTGCCTCCTCAGATCTTCAACGAGGAGAGTTACTGTGGGGTGAGTGTGTGATCGTGACCGACGGTCCGTGGTGGAACAGTCTTTGTTAAACTATCGGTTCAATTCCCGTCTCTGCCTCCCTGCAGGATTACGACACGTTCTTCGAAGCCAAGGAAGATAACACAGTCTACGCCTTCCTAGGACTGGCGCCACCACCTGGCTCAAAGGTGGGACTTTTTCTGCTAACATCCAAACAGAGTTCTAGTTTGGCTTTTGGTTTGTGATGTCGAACTTCAGTTTTCTGGGCAGGACAGGAAGTAAATGAGCAGATGAACGGGACATCGCTGACAAAAATGGTGTTTGGATATTTACGTCCGTAGTCTAGTCTAAAATGATGAGTTATGATTATTAAATTAGTGTTTAAGGCGGTGATTCCCAACCTCTGTGCCGTGGCCCACTAGTGTGCCGAGGAAAATTATCCATGGTCACTTAATTTGGCTGAAAACTATTATTTATTTATTTATTTATGAGGTTAGGCGGCAGCAGATGGCTGTGAAAACTAGGGTTAGGGTTAGAAGAAGAAAAGAAAAAAATCTTTGTGAGTGTCTTTCTTCAATTCCTGCCAGTATATCAGTGTTGTCTTCAACCAAACAGGCTGAGATTTTAGGGCCTTTTCCTGATGATACATATGTGACGTAGTTCAAAAAAACCGTTGGGAACCACTGGATTAAGGAACGTTTTAATCGCTCATCGTTCCACTGATTCTGTTTAACCAACTTTTTAAACCTGGTGATTTCGTTCCCACAGGAAGCAGAACAGGCCGATAAGAACATTGTGGAAAATGGAACCCACGCTGAAGAAGCAAACACGGAAGCAAACGTGGAAGATTCCACAGTAAAGTCATTCTCTCTTGACCTTCACTCACCAACATTCCTAACTCCCTGAAGTGTCGACTCTTTATTCCGGAGTTTTTTCTTTTCTGTTTTGCATGTCTGCTCTAAACATTTTCCTCAGTAACAAATTCTCCCGACACTTGTGGAGCGTCCGTTTTCCTTCCTCTGGTTCATATTTACTAATATTTTTTTCTCTTCTTGATTCCAGTGACTTTTCTAACAACATTTCTTCCAAAATAAAAGCCTCATATTCCACAGCTGCACAGAGGAAACTGCAGACACATGAACAAACTCACTCATCAACATTGACCCGTCCAATAAAAAGGCTCCATATTTGACCCCTAATATTCCAAACATTAAATTCCACGTGTGTCGTGTCTTTTTCTACCTGTTTATTTTTTCCGTCTGACAGACTAACAGCTTCACCTCCCTCTCAGATTTACTCACCCTCTCACTGCTGTTCTCATCACATAAGGAGGTTCCAGTGGAGGAGCGTAATGGGAACGCACATGCAGAGGAGGAGGAGGAGCAGATAGAAGCAACAGCAGATGAAGCTGTGGAAGGAGACGAGGCTCCTGCAGACACCACGGAGGAGCAGCAGGAGCAGCAGGAGGAGGAGGAGGAGGAGGAGGAGGCAGTGGAGGAGACAGATGAGGTCACAGAAGTAACCGTATAACCTCCACCTTGATGTGACCCCTCCCTTCACACCCCGACTGTTGTGAATGTGTTTTTTCCTTCGCCCGTTCTCAGCTCTCCCAGAATGCTCTGTTTTTCTCCTCTCAGCATCTTAACCTGTGATTAAACCTTTCTCTGGTTCCTGTTGAAGGTTTTTCCTTTGTCCTGCATCTCTCACCTTCATTATTTCCTCTCCGTTGTTTTGTTTTTTACACCCTTTTTCTCCATACTGAACCAACCGCCCTCTTGACTTTATTTAACTGGAGTGTGTGTCTCAGAGACGTGTTGATCCTTCAACAGGAGGACAGACACTAACACAACATATTTCCATCTTTCAGCAGGCTGAGGAGGGGGAGGAAGAGGGGGAGGAAGAGGGGGAGGAAGAGGAACAGGAACAGGTGAGTCTCTGAGCTCTGTTCAGACTGTAAAGTTAAAGTCAGTTCACTGGATCTCTGCTCTTTTCCTGAACAGTACGCAGCTGATGACGACAGGGTAAGACGCAACTTATTTGATGCTAAAAGGTGATTTTTTTTTAAAATAAGTGGATGAAATGAACAGGATTTTAACTGAATTCATATATCAATAATTTTATTTAAAGAAATCTAGACACAACATAGATGGTGTTGATGCAGAAACACTCAGACGTTGTCGTCAACTTTTTCTGTCCTGTATTTTTTCTCTGAGCTGCAGATGTTTTGTCTCAGTAACTGATTAAGGAAATAGAATCCTAGATCCTAGATTCTTCAACTTCTTCGGTCACCTTCAGCTGACCGGTCTTACCCACCACATTCCTCTTTGCCCCCCCCCCCTGCCCCCCCGCCCCTCTGTCCGTCTCTTTGCTCCCCTCTAGGAGGAAGAGGCAGATTTGCAGTCCGAGGTAACGTCGGTGATTGACCCCCTCCATGGTTCCTCCGTGTGTGT